CACTACACAATCAAGCCCCAGTCTTCACCTGGGCTTCAACATGCTACTGAAATACATTTAATTCATTAACAACAACAAATATCTGTCTGTAGCTCAGAGAAGAGTCTGTTGAGATACTTACTGGCTGTACATTTTCTTCCTGATCAAGGATTTGAGCTTTCCAGAAACAACTGCAGAGTGTAGAAGTCAGAGCTATGAACTGGCTATTTATATGAATGTTAAGTCCTATTGAAGCTTTAGGCAAACATACCAACCAATCAGCTTGGTATGAAAAACAGAAGTTGCTTTCACCACTGAAATCCCCCTGGAACTTTATTAGGTTTTGCCTTGCTGTTCACATAACAAGGCTCTTTGAATGTTTTCCAGGGGACTTAAATCCTTCCCAAACAGGACTGGATTACAAAGAAAGAAGGAAAGAGAATGCAATCAAGTCACACACGCTGTAACGTGCCTGCAGCTTGGCATCACAACCCTGCCCTTCATCTCCACCTCACTAGGGCTGACCCCCGTGAATAAAACTACTGAATCTGTCCTGTAAGAAAATATTCACCACTTGTCCCATTTACAGTGTATACGGAGAGAGAAAGAAGTCTTGCTCTCTCTCAATCTCTCACTCCCTGCAAGGGAGTCATTGTGGACCCAGGAAACAAAAAGGAGACTTTGGATTCACTTTCCAGCTTTGCTTTTGGGCAGATGCGTGACCTCACCTTCTCTGTGTCTGTTACCCTACCTATTAAAGGAGGATAATGTTCAATCAATTTTTGTGAAACATTTAAAAATATCTAGGATTAAAAAGTGTTAACCATTACTAACATTAATGGATCAGTCACTGTGCCGCTGATCTGCTTCCCACTCTCCATCTCACTCTGGGACCCAGCCAGGAGAAGTAGGTTAGTAGGAAAAACCTCCTGTATCTACCTGTTGTCAACTCCTTACCTATTATCCAACACCCGGATACCCTAAGACTTAAATTCCCTGGCCTCTGCATCCACCTTTAGATTCTTGGGCCTGCACCATTTGCTGTAAAGCTCATTAGAGCTAGGTTAGAATTTTTAGGTGAAACGTTTTGCCAGAAATTGCTGATTTCTGTTCAAGAGATTGAGTCTAATTGAAATAATTATTTGACTTAATTTTTCTTAAGTTTTGAAGTTGTCAAAATATCTCCTAATCACATTTATAATAGGAAAGCATTTTTGTCCTGGTTAAAACAGCTTTTCATTTAGAAGATTAAGCAGTGCCCAACATTAAAAGTGGTCAAAAATGGAAACATTTCAAAATTGTAAAAATGAACTTTGTATTGACTCAAATTGAATTTTTTTTAGTTGGTTCATGAACATTTTAAGTCAAAGCTATCAATTCAGCAGTGGCTGGGAAAGACTCTCTCTGTCACTTAACTGGACTCTAGCTCTGCTTCTTGCTGGCTGGAGAGAAGTACAGCCCCTGGCAGCCATTACTGTGTCCCTATGCTTCCACTGTGGTGCAGAAATCAGCTTCTCCGCATGAGACATCTCATGTTTGGAGGACTAATTTTGGGGAAAGAAAGGATGAATATCAGAGCTAAGTAAATATGGTACTCAAATACCCATGGTGTATCAGCCTTTGACATGAAGACTAAACAGAACGTGACTTTTGGCAGGAGTGGAACTCATAGAAATCAGAGTAGGGCTGGAAGGGACCTCTAAAGGACATCCCCCTGCTTGAGGTCAAATTATCCCCATCAAAACCAAAAAAAAGTTGTGGGTTCCAGGGGAAGGCCTCAATTCCCAGGTGGTCTCCTGTTCAAGAACTAGCTAGGTCCAGGATTTAAGCTTTTGAGATCAGAAGGGATCGGGTACATTCAGTCCCATTTGGCACTTTAACAAATCCTCTCTTTCCCTGAATTACCAAACACTTTATGAAAGTGAAGCTGCAGCAAGAAGTTATTTCAGGGATTAATCAGATTAGGAGGAATTCCAGGTCTCTCTTTTTGGAAACCTAATGTGAAAGGCGATGACATTTTGTAACCACTTACAGTAAGGTCAGCCTTACCCTGGGCAATATCCCAAATCTCGGCTGAGTCTTAAACTGTCACACTAACAGTGAGAGAAGGGAAATGAAACCTTAACTGGCTCTCTGTGGGTTGTACTGCTAAACAGAGACATCAGGCAGAGACTTGCCTTCTGTTCAACTATTCCTAAGGCAAAGAGCACATTTCTCTTAGTCCTTACTACTGATTGAAGAGGTATTGAGTTTGGGGTTAGGTCTGCTCATGCAGTCACTAGTGTTCCTGCTGATGGAGGACAGCCCTGTAATTATTCAAATGATCTTAATCATCAGTGTGAAAAAGCTTTGTAACAATACATTAAGACACAAACCTCTTAACAGGACAAATCAAATAAAATGGAATCTGTTTTGCAATGGTAAAGCAGATGCATCTGGAAGTAGAAATTAACTTCAGCTTTAAAAGTTGTGCAGACTCAGAACCTGCTGTATTACTTTAAGCTGGAAACTTCACCTTCAGCAAACATATTCTGGCACATGGACTTTTGGCCAAACTTCTTGCATTGGCCAACACTAGAGCTGACATCTTTCTGGAAAATTATTCATTGGTGCCATATCTATATAAACAGCTTAGACCATATTGATACATCCTTGCCCCAAAGACTGTGGGTTAGTTTATACAGTAATTATTCATACTGAGTAGCGTCTCATTCTGTAAGTAATCTCATTGGGAGCACTGGGGCTATTTGTGGGGTGACATGCAAGTAAGAGAATCTCTTTACTCCCATATGAACAATACAAGAGAGGGAGACCCTGAGTTACTTCTGACTGCCAACAGGGCAGGTGGCATTGCTGATGGAGCTGGAGTACCAAAACACCCACTGCAGGTTGGAAACGATGAACTTCATATGTAGTTATTCCATCCTAAGCAGGACAACAGGAATTGGAACAAACTATCCAGACAAACGCAGGTTGCCCACTGCTTTAAGAATCATGCTTTAATTTGGAAGAGAAAAAGATCAAACTACTTCTGTTTCTTGTCTGATAATATTTCTTGTACTTTTTCAAGGTAAAGCATAATAAATTACGTGCATAGTTCCCTATTAAATAGGCATTAATATTCTTATTTTACAAGTCAGGAAACAGACTTACTTTGTGACTTATCCAAGGCCACACTGTTTTAGGGCTGATCTATATTACAAATTACAACATTTTAATTGAAGATGCATTTTTAAATCAATTTAACTTAAACTGGTGAAAGTTTGCGCACAGATGCTTTTAAAAAATGATTAAGTTTTAACTGGAGGGCTAAAAGGGTTCACAAACAAACAAACCAGCTTAACTAGATTTATTTAAAAATAGGGTTGGAGTGTTGTTGTAGCTGTGGTCATCCAGGAAACTAATAAAAAATATATTTCCTTTTGTACATTTCCTAGACTATTACAGCTACCTTACTATAAAGGTGGAGGATATGGACGTTTATGCGGATCTGAAGGACATTCTGTACCAAAAAGCCTGCCCACCCTCTCCCCTAACCATACAGTTGGTCCAAGGAAAGACATCAGACCCCTGACCTCCCCAACCCAACAAAAAAACCCCTTATTTTTCTTTAAAAGGACATTTAGTTAAATAGGTGCAATTCACTGTAGAAGAACGTTTGATAGATCTCTGCTAGACAAGAGATTGGAATTCAAGGACTATTACCCCAATCCTTTCTTCAGTTCACTTCATCATAATGTCTCCAGATTTACAAATGATTTAATATTAGGGGGGTGGGCTTACACACCCTTATAATTGTTAACATTGCTCCCTACTGCAGAAGCTTTGCTGCTGTTGATGCCTAAGTCAGTAATAATTTGATTTTTCCTATCCCATTTAGACTTTGCAGAAATAGATGTCAAAAACAGCTTTTCACTTTTAAAATTAGTAGATCTGATGCTGAGTCACTGTGAGATGATAAGCAGGGAACCCTATGATACAAACTTTATAAAGTTAGTTTTCAGAACATGACCACAGAGACATTTGGAGAACAGAGACCTCTATTATTGTACTACATGCAACTTTGGTAGATTACACAAAACTGAGTGAATTCACAACTTCTAAATGGGTCTTCTAGAAGGATTTAAAAATTTTGCAACTTGGAATTTAACAGGGCTATTAATCAAGATTGAAGCAGACTTTTAAAAATGAATCAAAGAAAACTAATATCTCCAAAAGGTTCTTTGATTTGCATTCTTTCTTCATGTTAGTAACTATAGTGTCTCCCTTTAAAAATATGATGGTTAACACTTTAAAGAGTCATAATTTATTTTAGATTTTTTTCTAGTTTCTCTCAAAACACTAAATAAAAAAATTAACATGCGTCAAGAACTCTGACTATTTAGGGCAGCTCTCCAGAAGCTAAATCCCAAGAAAGGAAGAAAGGAACCTCTCTCCTAATAAGTTATTTACGTGCACCAGCTACGCAAGTATTTACACAGAGCTGAACAAAATGGGAATAATTACAAGCAAGTAACATTAGGTAACTTTGGTTTGCAAATGTTCAACATGAGTTGACTCCAGATGGCAGATGACATGTATCCATGCTACTAGGAAGATGTTAAAAAAAAAAGAAAAGCATTCAGTATGAGAAAGTTTACTTGGGAGAATTGTTTATCCTGCTAGTAAAAAAGCCAACTCCCATATCCTCCTACCGTAAAAAGAAGAGAGTGCACATTAAATGTTATTAGAAAATCAACTGCTACACTAAAGAAAGGAATAAGATCACTTTAAACTACTGAATATTTTATAACTCTTTCTCCAAGAACTGCTTATGCCCCATTATCAGGTATCCTGGTTTTCACTGATAAAAAATAACAAATTCTCTGACAAAAAAAATTGCAAATTCTCTGATAACACCCCTCAAATCCACTATTAAAATTAAAAGCCCACTGGTGCCCTTCACAGCCCTCCAATGCCTCCCTCAGCCCTGCTTGTGCCCCTCACTCGTCCCCAGCCCCCTGCAAGCCCCACTTATCTCAGGCTCCAGAAGTGAAGAGTGAGCCTCAGGCCTCCCCCTTCCTGTCTCCCCCCTCCAGACAGGGCTGGGGGTTTCCTGCCCTGTTTGCAAACAGCTCTTGCAGGCTGGAGCTCAGCCAGCCTGCAGAGCTTTTTGCAAAAGCAGAGAATCCGCAGATTTCTCTGCTTAAAGGAGAAATCTGCATCTGCTCTGATAAAAA